AAAAAAAAAAAAGGAAGGGACTCAGGGTTAAGAGTCGAAGGAAGGTTTTAGGGGTTAAGGGTTATAGTCGGGTGAAAACAGGGAGAGTTTTAGGATATAGGAGAGGTAATTTCTAACTGGACTTCTTGGAACAGATAAATCAGGACAGCATTAAGACCAAGGGTTTAGGGTTTAAGGCTTAGACAGAAACAAGGCAAATGCTGTTATAGAGTTATAGAGGCTTCAAACGGCGCATAAGTGTTCCAGAATGCTCTTGCATAATCATAGCTAACTGAGAGCTTCATAGCTGAGAGGAGCAGATCTGGTATCAGACAGATTGGCAGGCAGAGTTAGTACAGGCTCGATTAGGCAGGGGTGAGAGGTGGTACATCCTTCCTCAGGGAAGTAATCAATGCTGCCCACTCGGGCCTCTTAGCCATAATGGGGAGGAGCGTGTGTGAGTCTTTTATGTAATCCATATTGACTTGCCGGGGGAATAGGAACCGGACTGTTGCTCCCCAGAATGGTAGGAGCCAGAACCGTGAGGTTCTGTTTTTTTTTTTCTAAATAAAAAAAAAAGGAACCGGACTGATGCTCCCTAGAATGGAAATGGAGCCAGGGCCGTAAGGACCTGTTAAAAAAAAAAAAAAAAAAAACAAAAAAAAACTAAACAGCCCTGGTTGTTGTAGAGGCCGGAGTCCAGACACACACGGGGTTACCGTTTCTACAGCCATTGAGAGTCCCGACAATCCCTTCCCACCGAACGTCTTATTAATTCTCCTATCCTACCTCAGTGTGAATCACTCAGGACCATCACCTTGCTATGTTTTGCGGAGGGCGACTTGGACCAGACAGCAGTTCTAGGCACCGGGACTGGGCCAGGGCAAGCAATTAGCCTTGAAACCTCTCCCAGCCCTGGTTGAGGCACGTGCAGGCAGACCTCGCTACCCAGGAACATCGGACACCAGGCTCGAAAGATGTTACATACTACCCTACCTCTACCAAGTGTATCACTAACCGTATCTGACAGCACCCCCAAGCCCCAGATCAAGTCCATGACACTCCTAGCAGAGGCAACCCCAGTCTTGGCATTACTGTTATACCCGCTTTTGGCTGTGTTTTTTCGTGTATGTGTATAGGGGCCAGGCACGGCCAACTGCGTAGCCTTGAAGCCCTGGCTAGCCCCAGGCTGTAAGCTCATGTGTGGCTGTGTATTCTGTTATGTGCATGTACAGGGCCAGGCAAGGCCAAGCACGTAGCCTTGAAGCCCAAGCAAACCCCAGGCTGTAAGCTCAAGTATGTATTGCACTGGTGTGTTGAATGAAAGGCCAGTCTATACTAGAAACCCCCCACAAAGTCCCAAGTCAGACTCGAACCCATGTGCTTCGTCGTGTAACAGCTGTGCTCTTCCTGTGTGCCACGATGTCTAATGATACCAAATGTGTGATATGCCAAACCTGGGAAGATCAGCAGAACAGTCTATGACCATGTCATCAGGCAACCCATGCATAGTCAAGACCCGGCATACAACAGTCAGGATTCGATCCCTTGGTGGTGCAGGCAGTGTCTGTATTCCTTACCATTCACCTTCCCCCAAGGGATTAGTATGTACAGCCGTGCGTCGGTCAACACCCACCAGTGTCCATGTGCGAGGCTGCAGGGTTTTGAACCCACAAACTCAAGCCACAGTGCACGTTTCCAACCGGTGCTCTACCCACTGAGCTTATCGGCAGTACCCAGTTTGCTCATATTAACATCTGCCCTTACCACACGGCAGAAGAGGGGTGGGTGCTTGGGTGGCTGAAGCCTCCTTCGTTACTCTCCATATTCTTAAGCCCTCAAACATGATGCGTCTTCTGCGAGGTGCAACGCCTTGTTCATTTTGCTAGGTTTTCACTGATTATGCATGTGTGTGTGTGCAACGCCCTGGTGCTGGGCCGTCCTGTCTCCTTGGATGTGTGGTCAGATTATCTTTGCCCGTGTGTCGCCTGCCCACAAGCTTCTTATTGTTGAGCATTGTCAGAGACTTGGGCATATTGTCGCCGTGACTGGAGATGGTGTTAATGATGCTCCTGCTCTGAAGAAGGCAGATGTAGGGGTCGCAATGGGAAAAACAGGGTAAGTGCCAAAGTGGATACTCACTCTAGGGCCTTTGTGCATGTGTCTGACCACATGTTAGTATCAACTTCAGTCGAAAAAGTGCCAATCTGTGGATGTATCTTACTGTATATACCATATGTCCACACATCAACAGCTGACAACCTGTGAGATTGCAGATGACGGCCACCCTTGAGCATATCCCAGACCAGGCACACGATCACAAAATGGGAAAGAGATGGGCAAGTGTCTCTGCTGCAAAAAGAAAGGAAAAACATGGCCACTGTTGGATGCTGTTGACTGCAGCGGAGTTCTGGACCCGTCTGGACGAGAGCCATTCCCTTCCTCGAGTGGTGAACTCAGGCACTTTCCATAGTTAGTTAGCTTTAGGCTGTGGTTTGACAAGCCCGATGATACATAGCGGGACTCAAGAATCCCCTGCAGGCAGAAGCGGAGAAATTGAAGAGAGACCACAAAATAGTTTTCAACGACTGGACAAAGTGTGTATACAGCGGTTCTGCTACACGGCCCTTGGTGTTTCCAGATCTCTTTCCACCACACCAACTCCCACTGGTGGAGATGCAGTAGTATGGAGGCACCCAATACCCTAAATGAAAAGATTGCAGCTAGGGATAATTCTTCCAATCAGGCAGCCAGAAATGGGCTGAAGATGTCCTTCGGGACATCCGTTAAAATTGGAACGATACAGAGAAGATTAGCATGGCCCCTGCGCAAGGATGACACGAATAAGAAAGAAGACATCTGTGAAAATTGGAACGATACAGAGAAGATTAGCGTGGCCCCTGCGCAAGGATGACACGCATAAATCGACAAATGGTCCAAAAAAAAAAAAAAAAAAAAAGGGCTGAAGAGGCTGAGCACCGGACCCCTTAGGGCTATCAGTCAATCCCCTGCCAAGAGCAGGGCAATCAACGCCGTAGGCCTGAGGGGAGACACAGAGACATGTTGTTGAAAAGAAAGTTGTGTCAGGGACGCTGGACCTGGTTTCCAGCAGGTGATGCTCCCCACCAACAGACAGGAGCAACCAAGCCAGGGCTACCAAGGGGAGGTGCTCGTATCACTCCCAATAGTAACCCGGGATAGGTTTCAAAAAAACAAAACAAAAAAAAGAAAAGAAACCTCTGCAGGGCTCAGGGTCGGGTATGCAGTAGCATTCGCCTGTTCGTCTGTATACTTAGGGTCTGCCCACATTCCTCCTGCCATGCTCTAATTTGAGGTGGATGGTGTCACCCTGCCCAGTCGTTACACCACAGTGGGTCTGTTGGACGCCTGTATATCACTGTGCAAGGAAAATCAGCCTTGCAAGTGACAGAAACCAAATTGCATAATCCCATAGAAAACCAGAACTGAAAGCAGATTGTGCCAGAAATATGCCAAATAAGAGCAAAGCAAGGCAGTCATTTGACAATGTAAGCCCTCTTCACGCCTCCACTGTCTTTTTTTTTTTCTTTTTTCATTTTCCCACTGTCAATGTCCCCAGTGTCGTTCTTCTACATGGCGCTCGGCGCCCAGACTACCATCAGATGATAGCTAGACTACTAGCCTCCTAAGGACAAGAGCAAGTCTTCAAGAAGTGCAGCCACCTGATGACAAATGAAGACTCCGACAGATCGGCCCAATCCCCATCACCAGGTAAATTCTCTCTCTCCTCTCTCACACCGCCCACCACCTGCTCACACAACAGCACCCTCTCCCAAAGGCCCTCCGCCCACACTCCCCTTTGGCATACAGAGGCAACGGCCTGGCTATGTCCACCACTCAGCCAAGCTGCACCCTGACAGCTCCTCACGTGCCCCGCCAGCACCCTCCTCCCAGCCAGCCAGTCCTTTGGCAATGTGCGCTGAAGCAGCGCTGCCGCACGCCAGCCAGCCAGCATGAATGGAACTGAGCACGGGTTACTTGCCTAAGTGCGGTCTGGCTGGCCTGCAGCCTGCCTGGACACGGGGTGCCCTGTCCCAGTAGCTGCGGTCCAAGGCCCTTCCAGAATGTCCCTGGGGCTCAACTGCAAGGGTCCTGGGTCTCAGCATCTGCGCTCAGCCTCCAACAGCTTCAACTGTCAGGCCTACGCTGTAGTTGCAAGATGCTGCAGGTTCAACCAACCCGGGAGCCCTTTTCAGCCCAAAATGGCCCTTATCCAAGCATCCATACAGGAACCAACAAACCATGCAGGCTATCGCTAGAGATGACGCGTCCTCCGTGCTTCAAGCAGATCAGCATTTGAGCTCGCCTTGTACAAACAGAACAACCGCCAGTAGATACCAGGGGGGGGTCTCACTCCTGATGGCAGCACCCACTCATTTCACCTGCCAGGTGACCCTTCGACATGGCCAACAACAACGCATGCGAGTGTGAAAACGTCCTGCTGTACTGACAGTGCAGCGCTCCCGGTAGCGCCGCGATGTCCAGCAGGGGGGGCACTACCCCTACATCCCCTTTGGCTTTTACATCGGGCTCCTGTTCTTTCGGGATCAGAAGTGCTGGTTAATGATGGACAGGGCTTAGGTCTTCTCCAACGGGGAAGTAATCAATGCCTCCAGTAGCAGTGTCAATTAGTTGTGAATAGGGAAGCTGTCTCCAGGGAGCAGTGGCCCGGGCTCTTCCAGCCTTAAACCACCAATACATCCAGCTATCGGCCGCGGGCCCTTTTCGGAGGCCGCCCGCCGCCGATTTGATTTATCTACGGCGCTGGGCCTCCGAAAATTTCGTAGGAGACTCGCTAAACCCTAAACCTGAAAGTTTGCTGCAGGCCCAAGTTCTTATACAATCCGATGCACTACGGTTGACTTGTTGTGTACTATGCTATTCTTGGTTGGCTATTTCATTCCATTTCATCAGGAGGGACCTATCAAGAGATGCAGCGGACCTGATCCTCATGGATGACAATTTTGCATCTATTGTGGCGGGTGTGGAGCGCGGAAGGGTGATATTTGACAACCTGAAGAAGACAATTAGCTACACCCTCACCATGAGCTTTCCCCAGCTAATCCCTTTCCTTCTTCACGTGCTGCTCAACTTTCCACAGGCACTTCCTACTGTTCTGATGCTTGTCCTCTGCCTGGGAACAGATCTGTATCCTGCAATCGCCCTTGCTTATGAGGAGGGGGAGGAAGGTATCATGAAACGCCCTCCAAGAAATGCAAAGACGGGTAAACTTGTGACTTGGAGACTGCTTAGTCATGCGTACCTGCAGATTGCTGTGCTAGAGACATTGGCTGGCCTGTTCGCCTACTTTGTTATCTTCGGTGACTATGGCTATCCACGACATGTAAGTTCATGTTTAATGCCTAGACATGTCCAGGACTTCTCGAGTTTAAACTTTGTTTTTTTTTTGGATTTTAAGTACTACACCCATGACATGTACGCTTTCGTTCAATAACTGATACTTTTTTTTTCCCTTTTTTGTTTAAAGAAAGAACTACAACCACCAGGGTGGTTCTTTTTTTTTTTTTTTTTGGTACAAAATCCAGAACCGTATAGTTCTGGCTCCATGTCCATTCTGGGGAGCTTCAGTCCGGACTCCGGTTCCTGCGGAGGGTTTTCTAGTTTCGTTTTGCAATAGAAACTTGTTATTGCAGTCTAGTTGCTGTTTGAACTTCAAATTCGCTGGGGTGGCATCAATATGGGAGGACTTGTCTCAGAGGCCATGTAGTCCAGGGCCTTGTAAGCCCTGCCCCTTCACTTGCCACGGGGGAAATTTCAGCTGTTCAATCTATCAGAAGGGTCCAGTGGACTCTGAGATGGGCAGCCCCAAAACCTCGGCTGCCGTGGACTAGATATATCAAACCTCCAACTATCAATCCTGCCCAACAAACATCCACCCCAAACAAGCAAAAAAAAAAAAAAAAAAAAAAAAAAAAGACCTGAACACAGCACCCCGTCAGACGAAATCTAATGGAGTGCAACGATAATCAGTCTGGGACAGTACGAGTAGACTGGCAAGCCAAAGGACTGACGATCCATAGCTGGAACGTCAACGGCCTGGGCAACATTCTCACTGAAGACAACAAACTACGAGACATCAGACTCGGTCTCACAGACAAAAGAAAGCCCAAACCCGACATCATCCTTCTACAAGAGACCCATCTATCCAACCTCACCAACCACACCAGAATCAAGAGGACCGTGGAACAAAGCCTAGGTGGATGCCCCTTCACATAGTGGTCCAACAAAGCGGACCAAAGCAATCGCGGCACACCTATCCTCATACCAACTACTTCCAAAATCTGGTCGGATGGACAGGTAAGCAACGGCGAAGACGACACAGCGAAAGGTAGATGGTCATGGATCCAAATCACATGGCAAGAGGAAGAGATCAGGATCCTTAACATAAATGCCCCCAACACAGAAACCAAACGCCTTGCTTTTTTTGACCACATCAAATCACTCTTCCCGAACCCACTACCACTAATCATAGCAGGCGACTGGAACACCACTTTGGATCCCAACCTGGACCGCATTTCCCGAGCAACGCTGCTGGGACCCACACGAGCAAGCACACACCTTAGAAACATCATGACGAAGTTCGACCTGGTGGACCCTTTTCGAATCCTCCACCCACGCAAGAAAGCCTTCTCCCTAGTCAAAAGGAATCGATCTAACCATACATCACTATCACGGATCGACTTCTTCCTAATTTCCGACATGTTGCAGGGAGCAATCAAGGAGGTCGATATCCTACCAGCAGCAGCCTTCAAGCGGCTCGATCACAAACCGACCTACCTGCTCCTCAACCTCAACTCTTCGGTAGAAAAAGGGCAAGTTTTGTTTAGACTTAACAACTCACTTCTCTCCATAAATCGCATGGCAGAGGCAGTCAGATGGAACTGGGCTTTCTTACAACAGGATGAGTTGAAATGCCAAAACAAGCACAAGTGGTTCATAGATAGCTATACGGACCTATCTCTGACGGTCTTAGTAGAGTCTAGAAGCATAGCAGCAGAACGCAAGATCAGGAAGGAAGAATTGCAAATTGCTCTCGACATCGCTGAAACCAATCTCGCATCAGATCCTGCCAACTCCTTCGACCACAACCTACTCCAATCTACCAAGGATGAATTAAATGAATGGAGAAGATCGGAACTCAGGGGCCTACAAATACGCGCCCGAATGAATGACGACACCCTTAATGAATCCATGTCCAAATTCTTCTTCTCCAAAATTAAGGCCAATGCAAGGAACAACATGATCGAGAGACTGAAGGACCCAGGAGACCAGGGGAAGACAAAGTCAGCCAGTACGGACATGGTAAGAATAGCCAGATCTTTCTATGCCGACCTCTACGAGTCCAAAACTACCTCCCCCCCCCAGTCAACAAATATCAACGCCCGTCAGCACATGATGAACTTCCTAGAGAGAACGATCACCCAACAACAAACGCAGGACCTGGACAAACCAATCACTCTAGGGGAACTACACGCAACCTTGTCCCAGATGGGAAATGACAAAGTATCAGGAATCGATGGTCTGTCCAAAGAATTTTGGATCCAGTTCTGGCCTATATTGGGAAATGACCTCCTGAACTTTATTAATGACAGCAGGGAAAAGGCAGGTCTGGGTCAATCTCTAAGCACCAGTGTAGTCTCACTAATTTACAAGAAAGGCGACAAGGAGGACCTGCAGAACTACAGACCAATCTCACTTCTCACAACGCCCTACAAAATCCTAGCAAAGGCTTTAGCAAACTGAATCATAAAACTAATAGACAAATGCTTTCATATTGACCAAGCAGGATTCATTCCGGGTCGATATATTCTGGATAATGTGATGGCTCTAAACGAGGCTGCAAAGAAGATCACAAAAAGACGGATGCAAGCGGCGATCCTATTCTTCGATTTTGAAAAGGCCTACGATCAAGTCAATTGGGACTTCCTACACAGTTGTATGGAGAAGATGGGAGTCGGCCCAAACTTCAGAGAGTGGGTAAGAGTGCTCTATGGAGATGCCACGAGCAAGGTGCAGATAAACAGAATATTGTCAGAAACCTATCCGATATCGAGATCGGTCTGTCAAGGTGACCCCCTTGCACCCCCAATATTCCTGTTCATAATGGAAGCCATTGCATCCATGGTAACCGCCCGGACGTCCGGACCGGGTTCCAGACAGTCCGGTATTCGGTGTCCGGTGTCCGGTGTCCGATCGCCATGTCTGGATGGAGGCCCCTGGGGCAAAAATCAAAAACAAAAAAGGGGCGGCCCAGGACGTTTGTCGGGTCCTAGCCACCCCTCGAAAAATAATGGGGTGATTTTTAAGTGTCCTTTCACCCCACCGGACATGGCCTAAAGCTCCAGACACAAGACACTGCAGGTTTTTGAGGTGGCGGGTTTCGCACAGGCCCGAGCAATTTCAAAGCGTCCGTTTTGACGTGGCACCCGGAGCTGCTGCCCATTGGGGAGAGAGAGAGAGAGAGAGAGAGAGAGAGAGAGAGAGAGAGAGAGAGAGAGAGAGAGAGCGCTGACAGTACTGCCAGTCTGAAGACTCTGACGTTCTGAATTGAACTGCGAAGTTCGAACTTTTAAGTTATATATGAAGTTATGAACTTAAATTACTAAATCCAAAGTTCAAAGTTAATCATACTTTTTTCAAAAAAAAAATTATGTTTCTTTAGTCTTGTGCCTGCTTTGCACTGTTTGCAACTCTGCATGTCTGCTAGTTAAATGTGCTGGTTGATTTGCTGCAAGACACGTGCTCTGCTGCCTGAACTACRRAGTGCAAAGCCTGTCTCTTATACACATCTAGATGTGTATAAGAGACAGGCTAGGGAGAACCCTGATCATCAACGCAGCAGTATTCTCCACTCTATGGTATATGGCCTCCATATGGTCCCCTCCCGATGACGACCTGAAGAAGTTGAAGGCAAGAGCCAGGGTTTACCTGTGGACTGGCGAGCCCAACAGAACCACCCTGTCTCTTATACACATCTAGAGGGAGGGGGGAAGGGCTGTCTCTTATACACATCTAGATGTGTATAAGAGACAGGTCCGGTGTCCGGTGATGTCCGGATCACCGGACAGTCCGGACCGGTCCAGACACTGGTCCGGAAGACAGTCCGGAAGTGTCCGGTGTCCGGGTCCGGGGTTACCATGATTGCATCTTTCCTCCGCAAGGATCCATCCATAGACCGTCTGGCTGAACAAAACCACAACCCCCTCCACGACTCCATTCTCCCCATCGCACAGATGTTCGCAGATGATCTCAGAATCCTCATTCGTGCTAGTAATTCCTCCTTCCAAGCCCTGGCCCGCGCTATGGAAGCCTTCAGACTCGCCTCAGAAATGAAGGTAAACTGGTCAAAAACGGCAGGATGGTGGCTAGCAGAAGGCACACCCCCCCAACCTCCAAACTCATCCACCCCAATGTCATGGACCACAGGCGATCAAGCACTTCGATACTTGGGCATTATGGTTAACAGAGATGGCATCTGGCAAGGTATGGGAGAGACTCTAATCGTTAGAGCAATAACCCGTCTTGCCACCCGCAACAAAGCCCAGGCCTCCCTGCTAGGGAGAACCCTGATCATCAACGCAGCAGTATTCTCCACTCTATGGTATATGGCCTCCATATGGTCCCCTCCCGATGACGACCTGAAGAAGTTGAAGGCAAGAGCCAGGGTTTACCTGTGGACTGGCGAGCCCAACAGAACCACCTGCATAAACAAAGTGGCTTGGCAAACTGTCATAAGGAAACCACACGAAGGGGGGCTAGATATAATCGACCCTAAATAGGAAGTGATCGCCCTCCAAATAAAATGGATAATCAAAATCCTCACCAAACAAGCCCTTCCGTGAACCAAGATGGCAGTGGACAGCTTAAGGAATTTGGCACCGGTAGCGCCCCCACCGAACATGAGTGGCGTGTTTTGGATCATGGCAAAGGAATGGACAATCAAATACGGAAGACCTGCTAGGAGAACCAACCCCCTGACCCCCAATCAACCCCCCACTACGCCCACCCCCTACTGGTCACCGATCCTGAAAGCCTGGCGCGGCCTGATGCCAGAAAAGAAAGGGTCCCCGAGCAACAAAGAGGAAGTCTTAAGACAACCCCTGTTCTGCAATCCCTAAATTAAAGACGCAGAGGGCAGTCCATGGACGCTCCGAGCCAAAGACCACAGATGGCTGTCTTGGGTGGAGAAAGGAGTATGGCAGATCAAACATCTGTGGTCTGAGGACTGACAAGAATGGTTAACCGAACAGGACCTCCGCACTCCCCTAAAAGGGTGCCACCTACTGAACACCAACCTGTCAGAAATCCTTCAAAGCATTCCCC